AAAAGTCCGGTGAAGAAAAAAAAAATGTTGTCAAGCTTCATCGCCACCATGACTGGTTCAATTTGCAGTCCACGTAGCGGTCGCTTGTATATAGATTCGGCGACCACGGAATGCGTTGGCCTAAGTTCAAGTCATCGGAAAGCCATGGCAAGTCGGTCAACCCTCAACGCTGGTTTAGCAAATTTTGGGACACCTTCGAAACTTGAAGGGTTGTATGATTGCTAATAAGGTTGTCTGTTGTGTTGGGGCATCGTCATGCCCCGCTTGTCACGGCGGCGTGTCTCTTTGTGCTTCGCAGTTATGATGCATTGGGTCCTGCTTGCAGGGGCAGAGGGGCCACTACTTGTAGAAATTTTGCGTGGTTTGCGATGCACATTGATCGTGCACGGCTTGGCACAGGTGCAGTTGTGGAAGGTGGCCGCCTCGGAAACGCAATGCGAATTGATCTTTTGAGGGCATGGCTCTCGCCGTAGCCTCAGCTGGTGTTGTATCAGGAATGGCTAGCAGCACCCTGGCACCTTGAGCCTCAGGTGCTGAAGGCTAATGTTGCACCTTCGAGTCATGCTGGAGATGGACCGCGACCCAGGAGCTCCTGCCCGGCACCGTGGAAAATAATGGGTGCTTATGTCACGAGAAAATTGAAACCAAACCTGGACACTTTCTGCTTGCGGGCTGGCGCACCAAGGTCAGGGTCGGCCTGCCACCAGCCCGGCAGCCCCTGCAGCAGCGGGTAGCCCCCTTGGTCGCCTCGGAAGAAATGTCCCGCCGCAGCCACTTCCCAGTCCAGGTTCTTCGAAGACGGAGTTCACTTTGGTGAACACGCCGGGTCCCAGGTGGCCGTAACGCCTCTGCCTGCGGCAGTTCTGTTTTCCGCTGGCATTCTGCCTGCACTGCGCAAGACCCAGGCCACGTGAAGTTGTCATTCGCTCCAGGTGCCTGCGCGAGGCTTAGGGTGCACGCAATGGTCGGACAAGTGGAAATTCCATAATTCCATTCGCACGTGGTTCAGCCTGGTTCTGTGCGTGTATTGCAAGGATGCAACGTGGTTCTGCTGGCCCTCGTCGAGTAGTCCTTCCTCGTGAGTTGGTTCCTGCGAGGGGCTAGGGCTCAATGTGCCGGCTTGCTGCATCCTGTTTGCCATGCGAGCTGTGAGGTCGGCAGCCGTGTGGAGCACGACAATAGTGGCCAGGTGCTTAGAACCCAAGACAAGACCCGCTCATCGTTGGGCGTATTGAATATTCATCCACTAGCACTTCCTTGCTTCATATTTGCTGCAAGGCGAAGCTTGCACGAGCAAGTCAAGGCCAGTGCTGCAAAATGTAACAGCCAGGCTAAGTCGCCTAGCCGCTCCGAGGTGTGTCAGAGCGACTCTTTTCGTGGGCGATGGTTTGTGCAATCCTTGGCTCAGCCGATATTCGCGGAGTTTTGTAGGATGTTAGTGCGCTTAGGCAGACGGTGCCCGTGGAGCTGGTGTCTGCTTTGGCTCACCACAGGTTGACTTGATCGAGTTGGCCGTAGCGAGAGCAAAGGTCTCAGCCCAACGTGTCGCAAAGCGACAAGTTACCGGCCGAGCTGGCGCGGGCCTTTTCGAAATGTGTTGACGTATCTCCTTTTGTTCGCTCAGCTGACTGGGAATTGGGCCGATCGCTGGTGCTTACGGTGTAGGTGCTGGCCCCCCTATCGCTGACAAGGACAGCCTCCCTGAGCGCTTTGCTTCCATGTTCCGCAGTCGCATGAAGGATGCTTTACGTCACGATGTGCCTCCTCTGACATCGGAACTCCGTGGAGCATTGGGCTCAGAGGGGCTTGGCGAACATTCAGCTCCTGACTTATTTATTTCCAGTTGGCGCTAAGTCACTACTGACACTAGTGTCGGAAGGATCTCAAGCAGAAGTTGGACAGCTTGGTTTCAGTCTGTCGGACCGACTTCAAGGCATGGAAGAGGAGGACACACCAGCACCGCTTTGTCATGTTGTGTGGGCACGAAAGGCACATCCGCGCAGTGTGCGCTTCTTTCTTAGGGAGCTCTGGGAAGTCTGCCAACTGTGCGGTTCTCGGAGTTCTCGAAAGTCCCGCGAAGGTGTGCAGCTTAATTCTTCAGGCTGAAAGTGCCTTGTCTTCCTCGGCCTTACAGGCGGGCGTGGCTGCAGTCGGCTGTCACGATCCGACTTCCTGTGTGGTGTCATCTCGTCGTGTTGTTCGGAGGAAAAACCTTGCCGGTCCGCTACAACAATTCGTGCAGTGCCAAGAACTCCAGAACGTGGGTCCTTCAGGCATATAGGTTCAGCATCTTCTCGTGCATCTGTGATTGGAGAGCGGCCGAAGAAACCAGCCATGACAGTTTCGATGATGCACAGGACACGTGTCCAGCACAGACGTATGATGGATTGGTGAAGACTTGCGCAGGCATTTGGTGTTGGTCTCCTGTCGGCAGTGTGCTGAGATGACGTAGACAAGAGCCATGGCTCACAGCATTGGCCACATCCTCGCCGACTTTCAGGGCTTCGAATACGGAACAGATTATTTGACGCTGTCAAAAGGCGAGCTTGTCAGCCTGTGCCCCTCTCCCAGCGCTGAAGGTTGGAGCTTCGGAATTCAGGTGAAAGACGGACGCAGCGGATGGTTCCCATCTCAGTTCTGGGCACCCGGACCATGCGGCACTTCCGACCTCAGTGCGAGCTCTTCAGAAAACATCTATGACAAGGCCTTCCTGGTGTCAGTGCGACATTTAGTTGGCATTGGTCTGCAGGGTGATGTCCCATCCACGATGAGCGAAGCCAAGATCAAAACCGTGGTCTCGCGACAGCAGAAGAAGCAGCAACCGGATTGTCTCAAATCCATGGTCTTGTTGGTTGAGGCAGCAGGTGGAAGTGTGCGGCTCGGAAACTTGGCGGCGGCCTGCATTGCTCTGTCAATCATGACAGGCACACATAAACAGGTGTACCAGGATGTGCTGAACCTGGTTCAACGATCCCCTGAATTTTTCGAGCCAGTGGAAACGGCTTCGCAGAAAAGCTTGCGTCAAGTCCTAATCTGCTTGGCGGGTTCGGCCGTTGCGTCGGCTCCTGATTGTATTCCGGAACTTAGGGAGTTTGATGTTGGGGGCAGCCAATCAGATGCAGCTCCTGCGATAGCAGACATGCAGATGCCAAGCTTTTCTCTACGTGCGCGAGGGCCAAGCTAGCCGTGCACAGAGGAATAGTTTTCTTAGACTCAGCGAATCAATGTTTCCAGTTTCACCCTGCGAATGTTCGCAGCACCGAAAGTCAAGGAAGGTGCTCGCGCAGTTCCAACACAAAGATATCATGAGTTTGCTTGAAGAATTTGTTGTGACAGTTGCCTCTATTTTGATACTTGTATGCCTCGGCCCGCTTCGAAGGTCATGAACATTCCTAACTGGCTTCCGGCCGATTTAGCTCCTTCCAGCGCCGAGCTGCTGATGGCTCAGGTGCTGTTGAGCAGACGAAGGTGTATTGCCTGGTTCCCAAGGTCAGAGGATTCTTTTATCACGCTGACAGCGAGATGCTCAAGCTTCTAGGGAAGAGGCTGTTAAAGAGAGTAATGCCTGACCAGCAAAAGCTGCATTAAGAGGTCATGTTAGCGCTGGACTCCATCCCTTGGGAGTTCAAGTTCAACCAGAGACTTGATGGCAATCCATTTGATTTGTACGTGATGCCGCAGTCTTTGTAATTTTCTGTCCCTTGCCGTAGGCTTCGTCACAGTTTCTCTTTCAATTGCCACCCTGAGACACTTGAACACGAAAAAGGTCCAGCCCAAGAGCAGTGCCGAAGCGTAAAATGTGGTCTAGCTTCGCGATGCTCTGGAAGTGTCTGCCAGGGTCCACCGCGAATACTTGCTTTGTTGGGCTACGGTTGCGTGGCCCTTCGTCATCCTCGCTAGCCTCACGCTGTCCAGCAGGATTAACGAACGGATGCAGGATGAATGGATGGATGGGCGGGTGGATGGGTAGGTGGATGGATGAATAGGATTGAATAGGAGGATACATTGGTGAATGGACAGATGAATGGATGCTTGAGGTGATGGTCAGTGTTACCTCGCTGCTCCAAAAGCTTTCGGGATGCTCGTTCTGTCGGTTTTATGCCGGAGCCAGGTGGAGCAGAGTGCACCGGGCGGGCTTTGGAAATGCACATGGCTTTATGTTTGAAACGGGTTGTGACTTATACCACCCTGCATAAGATGCATACCTACTCTCCGACTTACGTAAGAAAAACCACTACCAACTCAAGAAGTACTCCCAATATAAAAACATGCAACCAAAAACTGGACGCAGGTGTAAATGCCAGTGTGACTTCTCCAACGTAATTGCAAATTGCCCTGCCTGATGCTGGCAGATCATCCGCATGCCAAAAAAGCAAAGTACGGAGAGAAAGAGAGAGAGCGAGAAGCCATTTTGGCTCAAGTACTGCACCTTTGCTTGGAGGTCTGTTCCACCCCCTCCTATCGGTTGACCTAGGGTTTGCCCTGGGGGAGCTTTTCTGTTTCTCTTCAGCGGTGCTTGAGCAAACATATCCGACGCATTTTGCTTGAGTGGCCCGTGCCGTCTTCGCTAGGATCTCGCGCAATACGCAAGGAGGGCAAGAGTGTTGCACTACAACCTTGAGGGGGGCCGAGTTCGTGCAAGGTCTTCCGCTGGCACGTTGGGTGACAAAATCCTTTGCCTACCAGATCGTGACTTGGGTCAAGAACGGCGAGATAGCATAGAACAACTACGTGGACCATGGCAGGAGGGGGAGAGAAAATATGTAAGCTGTGCCGCTGTGCTGAGGGGATGTGCCAGGTTGGTGTCGAAATGCCATGAACGCTCTGACCCGCAGTGCCGATTGCACGGGGTAACAGGGCAAGCTTCAGGTGCCATGCCAGCTCGACTGCGCCAAGAAGCCCCACCACCGGGGGAGCACAAAGCTACCGCGAGCTCTTCTGCCTCGAGAAAACAGCAAGGGAAAGACCTTTCCAAGACAACGAGGGGGCAGTACCTTCAGCATCGAGAAGGCGCCCCAATGGGGGGTGGCACACCGGACGCGACCTCTGCCAACAAACCTCACCTGGAGAAGGTCCTCTTCAAGACGCGCAAGGGTTTGCTCCTCCAGTTTGATGCCAACCCAAACCTGGACCAATGGATCAACTCAGAAGTCAAGCACGACAAGCTGACGGGGAAGTACGTGAAGCACACGGGGGAGGTGCTCAAAAGGCAGAGCGAGACACCTACACCCAATACCGACATAGACATGTGGCCCGCTGCCGATTGGGGGATGATGCGGACAAACTCAGCCGCATCACTAACAAGTACATGCCGCGAATTGCAGATGAGAGCAGGGTGTTTGTCCTGCGCTTCCCCGAGCAAGCCACGCAACTTTTGAGGAGAGCGCGAAAGATCCGACGGAAAGTCAAGGCCAAGCAAAAGGGGGAAGAGAGAAATGTGCCAGGGAGATGCTCCAAGAAGGGGGACAGAAAGCAGCGTGTGACAAAGGCAGTTCCTGGGCAACCTCCACGAGGGGGGAAAGAGTCAAAGCATGTGACAAAGGAAGGCACAACACACGTGCCAGAGCAGCCGCTGAAGAAAAGCAAGACACGTGACGAAGAGCAAGAGAGTGTCCCTGACTGGGGGGACGATACCTTTGACACCGAGGAGAACCCAGAGCCGGCAAACACAGCCACGGGTACCGCCAAGGGGGATGCTCAGGCTTCGTGGCCCTGGGGCGATAAGGGCCGTCCTTCTGATAGGGGGGAAAGGGCTGGCATCCTTGGTCAGCGGCCGAGCGAACCCACTACGCCGAGGCGACAGAGCGCAGCCGGGGAGAGCCAACAACCCCTACAACGTGCCATCCAGCTAGTACAAGCACACATGGCAAGACGGCGAGCAGAACAAGGACTACCACCAGCAGGCCCAAAGTGAGCCAATGAGTCGGGGGACATTTTGTCCGTAAGCTCCTTTTCCTTCCAGAGTGTACAGTCGTGGTGACCGCGCTAGTACAGCATCTTCCATTTGCAGCACAAAGGGGGAGAGAGGATAGTTTTTTGGATTCCGGGGGGCCTTACGCGGTATGCTTTCTGAACGTACCTTTGTGCCTTGCATCTGAAGGGGGATGCCAGTACTTTCAATCCTTCAGTGTAGCTTTGTAGCTTTTTCCGAGCTCTCAATTTCCTCAATGTAGCTCGTTCCGTCCTTGTATGCATGACCTGTACCAGCCTAGTGTAACACAGACAGGGGTGGGGAGTGAACTCTTTAAACAGGCCACATATCTGGTCTTCTTGGGCAAACTCTATTCCACCTGGGCCAAACAGCCCCAACCCCAGGTTCTTCGAAGCGGGGGAGAGGCTTGACCAGGTGGCGCTGCGCTTAGCTGACTTGTTCATGCAGTGCTACTTGTTTGTCGCAGGGTGGAACCCTGGTCAGCCGCCCCACTTTCTTTCTACAGCCGAGCCCTACTCCACGAACTGGAAAGGGATAAAAACCTGCTGTGGACTGCAGGTGTGCGCTCGCGCGCGGGGGGGGTGAGCACCTGCTCGCTCCCTCTTGCCTGGTAGAGAGAGAGAGAGAGAGAGATTTGCTTGCCAAACCCGAGCCAAGCAGAAGCCTGTCATCTGTAGCACAAAACAAGCTCACACGGGGGACAAACTCGCTCTTTGATTTACTGTAGCAGTGAATAGGCACCTGGTTGTGTTATGGATGTCTTCCAGTTTGTGTCCCTGCAGCAGATAGTCAAACACACCGTTTCCGAAGCACACTTGCGGCGGGGACCCAGAGGTCCTTTAGCCTTGATGCTTGGTATGCATAGTCAGCCTTTTTGTTCCCTGCCCTTGTTTGAAGAAAAATCCCTCGCGAGACACAGCACTACGCCACAAAAATCTCCGGATCTTTGCAACAGGGCTGAGTAACGGCCCGGAGCTCAGAGAAGGGGACATCCCTTTGCTGTCAGGGGGGACCAACGAGCGTGTTGCTAGCCTGATCTGCTGTTTCCCTAGCCCAGAGAGTGCGGGCCCCCTGCTCTGTTCCAGATCTGGCATTTTTTCATTCATTCTAACGCACAGATCGAGTCGATCTTTCGTTCCCTCTTTGGCAGCAGTCTTCCCTTTGGGCAGCATCCATCGCGGAGAGCAAGCAGATGGGAACTTGCAAGATGCGGGTTTGGGCGCACTGGCCTCTCTGAGACAGCCATTGAGCCCAGCAGGATCGTGCACGCATGACCGTTTCGATATTGAGCAGTACAAGTGCAGGGATCTGCATGCTGAATCAAATTGCAGACTGGCTCATGTTCTGGTAGGGCGAATCTCGGTAGGCTCTGTAGGCTCTCGGCCGTTGCCGATGCGATGTGGCGTTCCCAGAGTTCAGGGCTACACCAAAATCTAGCATAAAGCAGCACCAGTGACCAGTTGCAGAAACCATGGTATTATGGTTTTTATTTGTTTTTCCAAGGTTTTCAGCTTCCGAAACACAGAAACATTGGAAGAAAAAACCAATAAAAGTGGCACACGAGGAACCCAAGGCATTGGAAAACCCAATAAAATCGGCACACAAGGAACCCAACACATTGGGAAAACCAATAAAAGTCACACATTCGGAGCTGAAAACATTGGAAAAGCCAATAAAAGTGGCACATAGGGAGCTCAAAACATTGGAAAAACCAAAAAATGACACACAAGGAACCCAACACGTTGGAAAAACCAAGAAAGGTTACACATACGGAGCTCAGAGCATTGGGAACACCAATTAAAAAGAATGCCGACAAAAATTGCAAACACCAATAAACACCAAGCGCGCATCCAGCAGAAGCTCCACGCATTTTTGCAAGACTTGCTTCCGGACACGGAGTGCCCAAAAGTTAATGGTATAAACAATGATGTATTGCGACAGGCTTTCAGTCCATAGCTTTTTTCGTGAAAGAATTGTGCAATGCGGGAACAGTGGTGTGGATGGCCAAAAGCAATTGCTACACGACGACCGCGAACGCCCTCTCACCTCGCTGGAGTACGCACTGCTTTTCAACGAGTTGTGCAAGTGAGGTTTATACACCATGTCGTCTGAGGAGCTCACCAAGTTTTTGTCCACATTCATTGTAAATTGTAAACAGACTTAAGGAGCTCACCAAGTGAACTCCATCAGGGCTCTCAGTAGTCTCAGTCTGTACTATCCGCAGAAATCTCCACAAGAATGTTTGTGCTGCGATGGCTATACATGAGCGTCTAAGTGATTCCAAAACCATACGACGTCATGGCACATGAACAGCGATTGTTTGCATCAGTTCGAAGCTTGTGCAAAGGCTTAGACCGAGGCTGTGTGTAAGAAGAAAATGCCGGTAAGGATACTGTGTGAAGGAAGTGTGTGCAAGCAAGCGCTGTTGTTTTCATGAAGTCATATTTCAGACAGACTGTCAAGAGTACGGGAAGCTTTGTTCCATGTTCAAAGAACAACACAGCAGAAACCAAAACAGCACCACGTCTACTACTACTACTACTACTACTACTACTACTACTACTACTAAGGGTCTCGGCTTGAGTCAGCCCGAGTGTAGGGACCACGCTTTGAGATGGCGATTTTGTGGTTTCTGCTTGTGGCGCTTTTTGCTGCTGCAAACTCTGGTCCTTTCAGCATTTCTATTGCTGGGAAGCCGCGCTGGTCCCAAATCCAGCGGCAGAGGTGCTACTGTTTACAGGACGGATTTATGGAGGCCTCTGTAGACCCGAGGGTTCGAGTGGATGCCAGTACCACTCGTGAAGCTGCCTTTTTGGTGGCGAAATCGTCTGGACCCAACTCAGGTTGCGTACACAGTTGGGCGCGCAAGCGTGCATACCGGCGCGCTCGTAACAGGGCAATGCAAGGTGGAGGTACCTGGTATCGTGGGGTCTGGCGGAGTGCCAAGTCACTTGGGGTGGAGGCTTCTACGGCTGTGCGCACTGGTGCTACCGTGACGAAGGCCAGTGCGACCATGCAAGGACGCAGACCGCGCATTCGAATCCTGACCTACAACCTGGGGGGAATGGGCTCGGATTTATACGATGTCTTTTTGACATGGTTGGGCTCCCAGGCCAGCACAGATATCATTGTGTTACAAGAAACGCACTGGGGATTGGGGCGCGGAGAGTCTCAATGGACGCGCTCTGGCTGGCATTTTGTCTCTTCGGCCTCAGAGGACTGTCGGCATGCAGGCGTCTGTGTTTGTATTTCTGCTAAGCTCGCACAGGAACATGACATTGATTACCAGGTTTGGAGTCCGGGGCGCTTACTTCATGTTAGAGTGCATGGACCTAAGCTTCCCATCGATGTCGTGGCTCTGTACCAGTGGGTCGACCAGGGACCGTCTGACCAGCGAGGCCTACCGAGGCGGACCCGCATCTGGGATCAGCTGGATAGGCTGCTGACTGCGCTCCCCAAGCGTAACGTGTTAGCGATGGCAGGAGACTTCAATTCGGTTTTGAAGCCAGGGGGAGTTCACGTAGGACATGGTGTTCTCTCTACGTCGCGACAACAACCTGAGGAGCTGGTGCGTGTGCTGCAGTCTCATGACCTCTGCGTGCTGAACTCATGGAAGTCTGCCCGACCGCAGGCGTGTAGCACGTTTCATCATGGAGAGACTAGGTCGCAGATTGACTTTGTTGTGACGAGACTTTGCACTGTCGACCCGCAGGCTCGCGCATCAGGGCCGGTTGTCTTAGACCTTGCCCCGTGGAGGCGAGGTCCGAAACACTGGCCAGTTCAGGCTAGCCTCCCCTATATTGGCCCATGGGTTCTTAAACCGCGATTGAAAACACAGCAGTTTCAGTATTCGTTGCGTAGCCTGAGACATTGTCAGCGTGAGAAGCCTCAGCAGTGGCAAATCTTCTGTGACACCGTCGCACAGGCGGTCGCACAACTGCCCTCGCCTGCTGATCTGACCAGGATGAATGCATCGGTGCTGGCGGTCTGTCGGGATCATTTTCCTCCAGAGCAGCGCAATGCTAGGAATCAAGCACTGGATCCTCATACTCAGGGTGCTATAGCCAAGATGTGGCAGACCTACCGTCTCTGGAGGGGGGGTCCACGTGGGCATACCACACTGCGGGGTCGCCTTTTTGGTGCCTGGCGCAAGTTTGCGGACTTCCGCGCAGCTAGCCGTCAGCTGCGCAGAACCTGTGTCCAGACTAGGCGTAGGCGCATCTATGAGATCATTGATCGGGCTGCCCAAGCTGCCTCCAAGGATCAGATGAATGAGTTATATAACATCTCGCGCATTCTGGCCCCTAGGCAACGTAGAGAACGGGTTAAGGTGCGGGCGGCTGACGGTAGTATGCTTACGCCGCATGAACAGTTTCTTGAGATCGAGCGCTACTTCCGACAGGCTTTTGCATCCCCACAGCCCTTTCAGTTCAGTAGCCTTTCTGCTGCCCCTGTTATACCTGAAGCCACCCTGCAACAAGCCATCCTTGAGCTTAAGCCCCGCAAAGCGGTACCCATGGGTAGCATTCCTCCGGAAGTCTGGAAGGCGTGTGCGACACCTTTTGCCAAGTGCCTGGCGACTGCATACCAGGAAAGCGTGCGCAGCAATCCTTCCTGTCTACCCCAGGAGATCACTGATTGTAGCTTAGCCCTGCTCCCTAAACCTGGTAAGGCGACTAGGCTCCCTAAGGACTTGCGCCCGATAGGCATACAGGACCCAGCATCCAAGTTGATAGCGCGCGCTCTCCGAGAGCAGCTATCTGTGCAGGTCCAGGACCTTCTTTCCGCTACGCCGCAGTACGCTTACTGTGAGGGTAAAGGGATTGACATGGCCATACACAGAGTAATCCAACACTGTGGCCAGACCCGCACTAGGCTTCACGAGGGCACCTTGAGCGTCCATGCTCGTCGCTCTGGTCGTACCACTAGCTCGTGTTACGGTGGGATTATGGTAGGGATTGATATGAGCCGTGCTTTTGACAACCTCACGAGGGATGTGCTGCTACGTGCCCTCCGTCATGCTGGTGTAAGTGAATCTCTGCAACGCATACTTCTTGAAATCCATGAGTCCTGCCAGTATGAGCTACGTCATCACCAGTTCACGACGCGCTTTCCCATGGGGAAGGGCGTCAGACAGGGTTGTTCGGTGTCGCCACTGCTGTACAGCCTCTTCACGGCCTGGCTGCTGTCAGAATTGAGTGTTCGTACGGATGATAGGTGGATACAACAGTTGGTCACTTGTTTTGCGGATGACACGCACCTCGCTTGGCGCATAGATGGACCGACGGACCTGGACTTTGCGTGTCGGTCGTTGCGTGCCACCTTCCAACTCCTGCATGAATGCCATATGGTGGTGAACTCTGACAAGTCCTCGGTGGTGGTTGGTCTTAAAGGATCCTATGCTAAGCGTTGGTTGAGAGAACACACCGTGTCCAGGTCCGGTCGCAAATGCATTGACTTTGGGGTGCCAGGCGACGCCTTGTGTATCCCGCAGGTGGAGAGCTTTACGTATCTGGGGGTGATAGTGTCATATAAGCAATTTGAGCTCCAGACATTACATCATCGAGCACAGGCCGCATCGGCTAACAGAGCTAGGCTTAATAAGCTGCTCCATAGCCCACAGCTCGCCACAAAGAGACGCATTAGCTTGTACCTCTCATGCATTCGGAGCACCCTGCTTTTTGGGCTGCATGCTGTTGGTGTCACAGACAGCGTCCTTAGAAGGCTCGAGGCCGTGGACGCAAGACACGTGCGCTCCGTGACACGTTCACCCGTCCATCTCACACGTGAATCCAATGTATCCCTACGACAGCGTCTGGGTATCACTGGGCCGGCAAGGGATCTACTTAAGCTCGTGGATAGGAGGGCGAAGGTTTGTTCGGACTCTCAGCTTACTGCCGCGCTTGTTGAGCTAGGAGTCTGGTTGAGAGGACGGGTGTTGCACCTTGAGTCCTCAACGGGGACGGATGGCAACTTGCAACCCTGCCTGCCGACCCAAGGCATCGCATGCCCTGAATGTGGTTTGTACTTCGATTGTACTCGTACCATGCACTCACATCTTGCTCGCAAGCATGGTTGCCCGACTGAAAAGCTGGCCAGGCCTAAGGCTAAGGCGTACACTCAGCACGCCAAGGATGGGATGCCCCACTGCCGACACTGTGACCGTACCTTTACCAGGGTAGAAGCACTCAAGAAACACCTCCAGGGGTCTTGTCCGATACTGCATCACAAGCAGGGTACTTGTCCAGCAATGGCGAGGGGGGACCCTAAGCCGACACCCACCTCCGTGGCGTGCGGAGCCACGGGGGCGGAGGAGCTGCTTGGGCATACGTGCCGGGCTCCTACTGACGGTACAGTCTCTGCACATCTGGACACCTGTGAAGCTGATGTCCCCCTTTTTGATCGGCCATCTTTTCAGCTGCAGCTTCGTTGCGGCTGGCGGCAGGCTTTGACGGATCCGTTCCATCTTGCCAAATTAAAAGAGCACTGTGTGTTTTGTAACCAGTGGCTGTCAGTCAAGGGTCCAGGGGTAAAGCAGCATCACAGACTTGCGCACCCTGAGCGTTGGAAGCTGAAAGACGATGCCAACAGCTTGTGTGCCACAGCGGGCTCAGCAGCCACCCGACCGTGCACCTTTTGCGCCGGAGACTACAAGGACCCAAGGGCGCATGTGCCCCGTTGCCCCGTGCTCTTTCAGGCGGCACTCGCCTCCCTTGCCTTATCTCAGGACACTCGCGATGGACGGGGAAGACACGGCTCGTTCGGTGGCACTGCAGGAGATGAAGGAGGTCTGGGGCGGCCTGGGCACGGCGATGCAGGCCGAGCCGGATGCTCAGAAGCGGCCCTCGGAACCGGAGAAGGAGGAGGAGAGGCCCGACAAGTGGCGGAAGGCGGCCAACAAGGGGCAACAGGGAAAGGGCAATCCCTGGGGATCCTGGCGAAGCTGGGAGCGGTCCGGCGACCAAGATCCGTGGAAGTTGGACCCAGCTACTCTCCACCTGCTGAGGACCCTGGTGAAAACCACTCTTCGCTTGGACGAGGACGTGAGCCGCTACCGCGCCGACTGCAACTTCATGCTCTTCGTGGACAGTGTGAGCGAGGCCCAGACACTACAGGTCTTGAGGGCGGCTGCGGAGAAGTGGCAGGAGGCTTACACCAACGGCCGCGTGACCACGTCATTGAGGGTGGTGCTCTTTTGCGGGCTGCTCCAGAAGCTGAAGGAAGCTGTGGGCACAGTCCAGACGGACGACGGGGTTCGGGATCGCCTCCTGCGAGTCGGGTGGCTCGAAGACGGAGTCAACGCACTCCTTCCCTCGTGGCACTATTTTCGTTGGGATCCCAAGACGCAACGACAGGTCGTCTCGGAGCGCGAGCCCCTCCCGCAGGACAAGCTGCTGAGGTGCCTGGATGTGCTGGAGAAAGGCTGCTGCAACCCCGCGACCCTGTTGCGCTTCCGGTCGACACACAAGCTCGGTCAGGAGACGCAAGCAGAAGTGGTGCCGTTCATGCTGTCCCTCAGCCTTCGTGGGGCCATGGCCACGGAATGCCACGAGGCCCTGTCTCTGCTGGCATACAGCGGCGCCTTGAAGATGCTTGGGCTTCGGCTACGCCCCGAACGAGTGCAACAATCCACGGCGGCACGGGAGCTGACCGAGGCCTACCTGAACGCTCCCTTCACCGACTGGACACGGAGGCAGCAGCAGAACTTGATGAAGCCGGCGGCCTCGGGCGCGAACCAGAACCAGAGCTGAGGCACGCTGCCCTTCCGAATGCACAGGTTAGGTTAGTGTTGCCAGTTGCGGCTACGCCGCAGCAAGCCCTGCCGGCCAAGCTCCAGAATCCTCATGCAGTCTGCTATATTAATTCCTGTGCTCAGGCCTTTGTCTGGATGGGTATCCTAACCGATGCCCCAGCGCTCTGTTCTGGCCGTCTGCAGGCCGCAGCACGCATTTTGCACAAGAGTGGCAAGCCGTATCTACCAGCCTGCCTTCCATGGGGTCCTATCTTGCGGGCCTGGCCATCCTTGCGTAGGCAACACGACGCTGGAGAGTTCATGCAACATCTCTTGCAGCAGGCACAACCCCCGGCATATATAGGACGCTGGGAATCCCGTTTATCAGCTCCGTTTGCTGTGGAGGACCATGGCCCGCTGAGCGCTCCGATTTTGGTAGATGTGCAAGGCCCGGATCTGCAATCCATCATTGATGCTTGGACAGTGCAGCCTGCAATACATGCCCTCTGCGAGCACTCGGGGTTGTTTGTACTCCAACTCAAGCGTTATACTAGGGTAGGGGATCATGCCGGTAAAAACACCGCTCCAGTGCTCATTCGGCCAGGCGATGCCCTTGTGATGCCGTGTTTCGCTGCACCTGGCAGCATCGAACTGCAGCACCGCCAGTTCAGGGTAGCCTTTGTCATATACCACCATGGAGAACAAACGACATCGGGCCACTACCAAGCAGCACTTAGTTGTCCTTCGGATTCACTGGCGAGTGCGTGGCAGTTCTTCATTTGTAACGATGGCACCGAGCCACGTTGTGCCGCCCCGGCGGATCTTCGGGATATTTTGCATAATGCCTACTTAGTAGGGCTGGTGCGTGGGGATCACCTCGCGTGCCGCTAATCAGCCGTTCCCGACTGCAAGCAGGCTGCCGAGGCACAGCAGCAGGGATCTTTCGGTCTGAGCCGTTTCAAAGATGCCCTGTGAGTGCATGCCCACGTTTTGCTTTGTGTTGTCATCATGTACAGTTACCATCAAAGTCGCGCTTTCTCTGGTTTATCCCGGCAGCCTGGCTCCAGCTCCTCTTGAGTGCACGGGCGTGCGGAGCCTGTGCACTGGGTCGCTTGGGCATACGTGCCGGACCCTCACGTGAGCTGGGGCCTGAGGCTTTGCACAGATGCCTGCACTGCACCGATTGTTCTGTGTTGACTGCTGCTAGTTTTGGGTTCTAGCCGGGTTTTAGGACGCTCTGCGGCATGGCTGCCCGACAGCTAGAGCTGCCCAGGCATTTGTATGTGGTGGCATTGGAGGAACACCTCCTGCTTGAAGCCTTCAAGTGTCTTTTTCAGGGGCGCGTAGGCCTCCACTACCCGCCGGCCATTACTATGGCGTGCCGCAATGACATCATTCAGCTTGCTCGGGAAAAGCTTCCAGCTGATGCTCTTGAGACCTACATGTCCTATGCCTCCCAACTGGCTGTGTGCTTTACCGAGAATGTCCTGGTTCGAATGCCGGCTCCTATCGGGGCCTTCAGCGATTTGGACCCAACTGCGGAGCAGCTGGCCTGGCACTGCTTGAATGAGAGGGAGGGCTCTCTGTGGGCCATGGCACGCACGGTCGTAGCAGCCCTCGACTTTGTGCAGGACGGCCGATCCTTTGCCGATGGCCTGATCTTTAATCTGGGCCTGTACACCAAAGGTGGCATTGTGGGCCTCGCGCGCAACACTGGTTCGCATGTCAATGTTTGTCAGTTGTTGAACTACCTCGTCCTAGCCATCTGTCCGGCTTTCATGTGGTCCACGCTAACCATAACTGTTGATAACAGATGTGGCCCTCACACTGACAAGTGGAACTGGGTTGGACACAGTTTGCTTGTCGGACTAAGCCATCATGAAGCTGGTGGCCTCTGGCACGAGCTGGAGGGTGGCCGTCACTACGAGGAGTACGAGGGCGTTCTGCGCTCGGGACAAGTCTTTTCCACTAGCGCCAGCTGTGTTCTGTTTGCCGGGAAGACCAGCTTGCACGCCACTTGTGAGTGGCAGGGGGGGAGTAGGGTTGTCTTAGTTGCCTACTGTAGTGGACAGATTGACAAGGCCTCCCCTCAGCATAAAGCCTGTCTCGCTGAGCTCGGCTTTCAGCTTCCGTAACGGGGCTTTGGAGCTGAAGAGTGCTTACTCCTGCTGCACCAGTGCAAAAGCTGCGTGGCAGGTTGGGGATCGGGGAATGCCCAGCAGCATCGAGACAGCTGGCATAAAAACTGCATGCCGCTGCGGTGCTGCGCCATGCTGTCCTGCCACCCGTGCATGTGTCTCTTGCAACACGCGTGGCAATGTCATCTTGCTCTCTGTCCGTCCCAGGTCTTCATGTCTGCTGCGGCTTCGGCGCTGCCACCACGCCCTCCGGCGCAGGACTCGGATGGCCTACGCGACTGCCTTAGTCGAGGTTGCAGAGTGCGTTTTGTGGGCAACGGACACCGGCATTGCTGTGGTGAGTGTAAGCGTACGTATGGGGCGCAACACTCTCGGCGCTGCACTCGAGCACAACGGATTGGTCGGCTGGAAACTTTGGAGAGCTCGGCTGCCAGTAGTACGCCCTTTTTCAACTGTGCTACTTTGGGTTGCCATAGGCTGACTAGTGGCACTTTTCTCTTTTGCTGCTCTACCTGTGATGGGACGGGGGGTCTGCAGCACACCGTTCGATGCCAACATCGACGAAGAGACAGGGTGACGACTACGATGCGCCCCTCCACAGTGTCGACTGAGCAGCCTTTGCCTTCCACAGCGGCGGCGGAAGCCTCGGTTGTGGTTCCTGGCACGGCGCCCGATGAAGCTGCAACATGGATGGAGGTTGTCACTGAATCGGAGACTGAGTCAGGACAGGCCCGGGTGCAATCTCGGATGATTGATCCTGTGACACCTCTTGCGGGTGCTACAGGAGAATCATCCTCCGCACAGCAGTCGCAGTCTGTACAGAACAGTTCGACGGCAGTGGTGGATCTTGATACGCTCGACTGATGATGGTTTTTCCGGATGGCATAGTCTTTCTGTTTTGCATCTGCTCTTAGGAGCGATGCTCTTTTGACGCAACTTGTGGAGCCATAATATGTGGCGCGGTGATCAATCGCCGGGCCTGAGGCCTGTCCCCGCATCGTATCGACTTGGACGATATGGCGATCGTGAGTGAGTGAGTACTACTACTACTACTACTACTACTGCTACTGCTACTACTACTACTGCTGCTGCTGCTGCTACTATTACTACTACTACTGCTACTACTACTACTACTACTACTACTGCTACTATTACTACTAATGCTACTACTACTACTACTACTACTACATATATATATAT